TCAGGCAATCTTCAAGCTCGGCCCCAGTTGTCATCACAATTCCTAGTTCTGTATTGATTTGCTTACAAGCTACATGCTGAAGTTGCCTGTCAAGCTGTTAAAAACCCATGGATATTAGTGCTGTTCTCTGGACAGGTCGTGAAAGAGTTTGATACCGTTGCCAGTATGAATCATGCCGTGTAAGATCTGGGATATGAACTCCAAAGGCGAAAGAGAATGCAGGTCCAAAATAACAGATGACGCAAATAAAACCAGCAGGCAGCCTTTGGAACCTTTGCGGTATAGACCACCGCTAATGAGAAATTCAGAGGCAGAGTTGGGTTGGTGACAGCATTGGAGCTTCCTTCTCCCAGGTAGTAACTGAGCCAAAAACATTTAATTCTGTGCCTAAAGCTGCTACCGATTGAAGTAGGATTTGTTTAGATAAAGAAAATTGGAATTTGTTACTCTTTAAGAAATCCACTAGCTAAACAGGAATTACTAAAAGTAGTGTGTGTTATCAAAAGAAAAAACACGGGTGACAGCGAAGGGAGAGCTGTTTTTCAAGGTAGTCTGCCACTTTCTGTTTTGTTTCCAGTCTGCAGCAGCTGGAGCCCGCCCTGGGCTGCTTGTCATGCTCGCACGGCTCAGCTGAGGAGCCGCCATGGCAGCTCTTGCTTTCATGAATTCTAACCTCAGCGAGTGTTTAATCATGCCTCAAACAGATTGGCTTTTCGCAGGGAAAACGGTGTTTCTGTTCTGGTATCGCTGTCCAGCTTAATGTAATGAGTGATGGAATCACTCTGCCTGAGACACATCCATCTGCTTCCCTGCAGACCGTTTTCTTTCTGGCTTTTCCCGCAGTCTTAAGTTATCAACCCAGAACACTTGCCGACGATGGGAACTTACTGCCGCCTTTCCTGGCATCGCTACTTCAGCCGAAAGCATGTTTCAGCTCCTGTTTTTTGAGCCGACTTGAAATGGGAAAGAAGGCATTAAGGGGTGAGCTTAAGGGTCTCATCCAATTTAAAAAGCTTGTATTAGCGTGACAAGTTGTAAAAATGTCGAAGTGGATACAGAGTCAGCATCTTCCTAGGGACCTGGCGCAAGGTGCAGCCTGCCAGGACTTGACTGCGTGCGCTGTCTGTAGGTTCATCCCCCGCTTGAATATTAAGTCCCCTTTTTCAGTCGGTGATGGGGAGGCAGTACTGGTCCGAGACCGCAATTGCCCTTGCCTTCGAGACGGCGGAGAAAAGCTTTGGGATGGGTTCCAACTTTCAAAGCCGTTCTTCAGGAGAAGCCGGGCGGGTGGGTAAGTACGTGAAGGGGTCGGTGCCTTTGCTGTCTCTGCCGATTAAACAGAAGGTACTGGTGGAGACAGGCGACACTGCGGCTGCGGCTCCTCTGCCGGCTGATCCCCGCGGCTGCGCAACGCTGGGCTGGTGCTGGCGTTCAGTTTGTGGGGACTCCACCAAGGGCAAGCTGAAGTGTAACGAATGCTCTAATTAGCTTGCTCCGGTTGCGCTGTGCTAAGCTCAGCCTTAACACCTAGCTGCAGTTAATTAAAAGATGGGGTGGCTGAGGTTTTATTAGTACAGTGTGTTTGCCACTAGATGAAACAACGGGAGAAAGGTGGATGACTTGTGTGAATTGTCAGGGGTAGGTGATTACCTGAACGCGGTGAACAGCCCCGTTTGGAGATCACTCGCCTTCCCAGGTGAGCCGGGGGAGAGTCAAACCAGTGAACAAAAGAGTTTTTATCATTATGGGGCTGCTGAGCCAGCCTGTCCCCTGAATTTCTTAAAGCTTTTAAGAAGAAAAATCTCTGAGCAGGTATGTGCACATGATTCATTTGGCAAATGCACTCAGCCAACTTCCCGGAGGGGAACTAAAATAATTTCCACATACAAGTAAAGCAAATAGCCTGTGCCTTGTTCATCCTACCAAGTATTATTGACTAGTGCTGAGTAAGAGATCTCTGCAGAGTGTTGATGAAAAGGTTGGCAATCCACTTGGTCTGGATTACTGCAGCATGGTTGTGTAATATTGAATTGCAGGGGTTTCAGTAATCTTCACAGGCTGTTCAGCCTCAAATTAAAATGTTTAAAAACTGCCGTTCATGCTCTTAAATACTTGCGTAGATGTACGCTGTAAGCACCGGAGACAATTTCAATCTCTGTTACATTCTTCCTGCTAATGTGTAGAACAGATATTGCCTCCTAAGGTCCAGCTGAAATGTTCCACTGCGGTGGTATTTGAGACTAGTTATATTTGGCTCATCTTTGTTCCATATCCAGTTTTACAACTACCAGATGACACCCTAATGAAACATCAAAGAAACCACGAACTGTTGCACTTAAGTGCTCTCTGAAAGATATATCCAGTGAGGTACAGAGCTCCCACTCTGGATACGAAGGAATTTTGACCGTAGGGCAAAAGTGGCCTTCGTCTTTTAGACATGCCAGCAGCAGTTCAGGACAAACTACCTTTCATTTAAAACATAAGAAAAAGATAGAAAAAAGCTGTTTATCAGTGGTTTTTTTTCAAGATAGTTTCCTCAACTATCTTGAGCCTTTTTGTTTTTTACTTAATTTGGGGAAATAGATGAAGAAGAAATGGTCTTGCTGAATAAAATCCAAAAATAACTTCTAAGAATTTTTTCCGGAATGAGAATGGAAATACTTTGGAAGGTACTGAGCATTTAAATATTAGCAATAAATTTTTGATTTGCAAGAGAAGCTAGCTGGATGGAGTGAACGTGTTTTCATCCATGGCTGGGATGAAACCTGAAGTCACTGTTCATGCAGTGTTGTTTCTTGGTCAGTCGTGACAAAATTAATCCAATCTGGATGCTGAATCTAGATCTATAAATATATTTATTATAATATAACAAGAACTTAACAGTAAACATAAACTATATACAATACCATTACAGATAACCCTGTTTTTAATATTATTCACAGAAATAGCCAGTTTTGTTCCAGTGTGAGAAATGAAGAAATAAGCTAAATTGGAAATGTTGAATGTGTTTAGGTCTTGTTGACAGGTAGCACCTCCTTTGGAGGTAGACACACACCAACACTAAAATTAGTCCTGCCCCAGGCAGTTAGAAACTTGTGCTCCAATCTTTAGGTTCACACTTGCACCCTGTTTGACATAAATACTTTAAATGACATACTAGTATATAACTTTGTTGTGCTTATTTTTTTTTCTTTAAAGAATAAATAAAACAACTGCATAACAAAGGCTGGAACCTCACTGTCAAAATGAGAGACTTGAGTCACCCTATAGCTTGACTCAGCTGACTTGAGCACTTTTTCTTTAAATACTGCAAGATACAAATTTCATTTTTTTTCTTTTATTTTATAAACGATTATTAATAAAATAAGATGATTAGCTAACCATCTGCATTGATTTCCCCGAAGCTGTAGGCAGACCTCCCTCCGTATAAAAAGGCTAGTGTGTATTTGGTATGAAATTCAACTAGATATTGACTGTAAGATCTCACCCACGCCCTGTATCGGACCCTCCTGCTTGAATTACCGGCACGGCATTTGGGATTTGGGTCTGCAAAGGCAAGTATGGCAACTTTTTTCCCTCTACTTGGAAAGAAATCAGATAATCCTCAGCCTGGGGTTACTGCTTATTTGTGAATTTAAGATTCTTTCCCTTGCCCCCTCTGTGTTACCCAGTCCATCTCCCATTTGATCTTTTTATGTATAAATTTATAAAGAATTTCCACATCACAATGCTCTCTGGATAGACAATATTTTAATATATATAAAAATATAACCCCTGTGCTGTGCATATACTTACAACTCTACATAGTATCACTTTATGTCTCTTATACTGGGCTTAAGTCTATGCATTTTTCTACCACGGGATTTAAACTCGTGTGTTTAAAATCTGTAAATAAGAGAAGTATATGGTTTCCACACCTACGGGGAAACTTGAAAAATAAAATAAAAAACTTCTCGGGCTTTACATAAAAGGTAGTGGCATATATCCCAACGTAAGGGATTTTGGTTGAGAGCCAAAACCGAGCGCGTAGCCCCAACAGGAGGCATCTTCTCCCTTTGCTGAAAACGTGGAAATGCCCCACTGCACCCTGTGTTTTAGTGTGATCCCAATCAGAAGAAGTGAAGAGCAGTTTTATCGGGAGAATGCCTCTGGAATCGAAACCGTTTTCATTTTGCACTATGGGAATCAAGCACTGCCAAGTTCGCTCATCAGCAGAAACCGGGAGGAAAAGGTTAGAAGCTGTCACCCCCCCACCACCGTGGCCATGGCCACACGTGCCCACACAATATCACTGGGAGCAGAAACTCATCCAGCCCAACAGACCTTTTTTTTTTTTTTTCATCATTTTACATGGAATTTATTACCAATGGCTATTCTTCTTCCCCCCAGTCCCCACCTCACCCCCTTCTGGGCTCTGCTCTCGAGAGCTGAAAGATTCCTTTGATCTGATGGAAGACTGACATCAACGTAAGCCATCTGTCACACAAGATTTCTCTCAGTCATTGGTATTGAAAAGCGTGTATTTGTTAAAAACAAATGTAGGAATCAAAGTGGTAAGGACACTTTGACCTTTCAAATAGATTGATGCCTAAAGTATAATAGTAAAACTAATCTGCATGGTTATTTTAAGAATCAAGCTTGAGCTCTAGAAGTAAAATGCAGATTTTTTTTTTTTTCCTCTCTTCCCCAGCTTAAAAAATATGTGAAATTCTATTGCACCTGGGTTGACCAAAAGCCGACGTCCAGAACAAGTGCCACTATAACATCTAGTGACACCCTTGTATTATTAAGTTACAATATCTTACATAGCACGGAGCTCTCTGCTCCTGGTTCACCAAAAGGTGAGGATGATTTTTCTACATTCAATGTAGACACTATTCAAGACTTTAGAGCAATGTGTTCACTGGCTGGCTTTGCTGCTTTTGTTTCTTAAGTAGTAGTATTCTTCTTGCCCGCTTTCAACAGGTACAAACAGTTCTCCATCCAACTCCTGGGTAACGTCAGCCGCTCTGAATGTACTTCTTGATTACTACGCAGCCGTGTCGAAAAACAGGGCAGGGCATATTTGGTAGAAGTGTCCACGTATTTGTTTTAGGGTCGTACGCTTCCATGTTTCCCAGGGCAGGTCCTTCACTGCTAACGATCCCACCAGTGGCATAAATTTTTCCATCCAGGACCACAGCGCTGTATTTTTTAAAAAAAGAGAGTTTTAGTTAAGTATTCTTACCCAACAATTCTCTTTTTAGGCTTAAAACAAACCCAGTCTTTCATAGCAAGGGGTAAACAATGAATACACCTTTTATTCTCATCTCTATAAAGCTGTGTGGGCATTTCTTTTCCTTCTCCCTTTCCCCCAAATTAATCCTTTTTGTGTTCCTGCCAGGTAGGTAAATTTTGTCTCTAATTTAAGCAAGAGAAATTAGTCCAAGTGAGATGTTTCTCCAGCCACGTATGGGATCTGCAGCAAAAGTAGCAGGACAACGTGTCCGTGTAACACCATGTACATGCAAAAGCAATCCAAGCAATTTGGGGTCCCTGCCGCCTCGGCTGGAGTAAACCCGTGCTTCAAGTAACTCCTCCAATTATCAATGAATGCTGTAAGGCGGGGAATAAAAACCCTCCAAAAAATGCTGTTGCTTCAGCCCCTTCCATGGTGGCGGAGCATCTCCTTGCGGACCTGGGAGGGCCGCTGTCGAAAGCCAACCTGGGGCACACGTTCTGATGCTTGGGGACGTGCAGCTGAGGGTTTGGCACAGGAGCTATCTGCTGGCCTCTGAAGAAGACAACAAAACCTTACTGCCTTTTAAAAATCAAAGTGTTCGACACAGACATCTCTTGCAAATCAAGGATAATGAGGCTGGGCTAATCCTGTGGTCTGTAGGCTCGCGATAGGAGGGAAGGTGCACAGGTGTGAAAGGTATTTGAAAGAAAAAATGCCCTTCAGCCTCATCTCTTCCTCCTCCCTCCTTCCGCTTAACCCCTCGGCCTCTCCAGCAATCGTGCGCAGGGCATGACACTCGCTTTGGGCTAACGAAGATGGACAACGAGGGGCTGGGCTCCCGTGTGTGTATTTGAAAAGGGCAGAAGGACGATGGAGCCAGCAGGCAGCTGGGTGGGAAAAGCCCGTGCAGGGCTGCTGTGTTCTCTGTGCTGCCTTCCCGCTGCCTGGGGGGAACCCAAAGGTGGGGGTGGCTCTGCTTTTCATCTACTGAGGAGCCCCAGTTTGTCCCCCAACATTTAAAGGTGTTAAGATGGATGGGGCTGGCAGTGTTTGGAAGGTCCAAGAGGTCTTCTGGTGGTTGGGTCCCTTCCAAGCACAGCTGGTGGATGGTTGTGTTGGGAAGGAAAAGGGACTTGGAGAGTGCGTGCATGCCAGAGGGCAGCCGGGAGAAAAAGAAGGAGGGGAAGACAAGAAATTAATTGCAGCCAAGGAGGTGGCCTAGATGTAAGAAAGAAGCTGGAGAAGGGTAGTAACCCTGTAGGCTTGGTGAAAGCAAAGTCACTTTAGCTTATTTTAGAGCAGCAGGAAGAAAGTGATAAAGGCAAAAGACAGAGAGCGTTGGAAGACCCAGGATTAACCGAGACTAAAATGGCACCGACAAAGCTACATGTTTCTGAAGAACACAAAACTCTGGTGTCCTTGTGGAGAAGCAGAGCCCGAGGTTAAAAATAAACCCACAATGACAACAGTGAGGACTCAAATAAGCCTAGTCCCTGGGTACCGCCAGGAAATAGGAAATAATGAGAATCTTGTCAAAATAACTGTTAATCTGAAAGGAGGAGGAAGGAGAGAGAGACTTGAAACACTTGATTAGAGCCTATCCACAAATCAGCAGGGCTGGATGATACATAGCCCAGGGTCCTAAGGGAGTTTGCTAATGAACTTACTGAACCACTGGTAATTATTTTTGAAACGTCAGGGAGAAATGGGGAAGAACGAGGACTTGAGTAAAGCAAGTGTCATCCTGAAAGACAGCTCTGAAAGAGAATGAGCCCACCTCCAAAGGAGCTGGAGCTGAAGTCCCTACAGCCGGGAGGGAGCGGAGGTGGCAGGACCAGCTGACCCAGTAAATCAGACAAATGTGCAAATTAAATCACGGTTTAGGACTTAAGATATCTGTTGGGGGGTGGGAAGCCCATCTCTGTACTGGAACAAGTTACTGTTTAAAAGCAAGTTAGGCTGGGAGTCACAGTTTGCAAAATATGGCACGAGGAGGGGGGAGGATGGTCCCACCCCATGCTGAAACAGTCCCCGGGTGGTGGAGGGGCTGTGGAAACCAGCAGGGTGACAGGTTAGAAATGAGGCCGTGGGGTGGTGGTTCCTGTTTTCTGTTTCACTTTGTTTTCTTAATAGTGAAGTTGAAGGAGATAAAAGCTTATTTGAACTGGGATGTGGTTTGGGA